GATGAAACAGGACGAGGGTCCAGCTGGAGAGGTGCAGTCTGGGCATGACGTTTAGGACCGTGTCTGCCTCCCCGCCCCAGCTCCTTCCTCTCAGGCTCCACCTTCCTCTCTGCCTCCGGGCTGCCGTGGGTGAGCAGCTCTCTCCTCCCAGGCCTTGGGCCATGCCCTTTCTGCCTTGGAGTGGGCCACCGTGGACTGAGCCCCCAACACTGTAAACAACGACTCTCTCCTCCCTCCATTGTCTCAAATCTCCGTCACAGCAGGGAAGACCAGACACCTCCTCCCCAGCTACCGCGTCAGCACATACAGTGGCCCCAGCATATTGGAAGCGTTTAATGAAATTTTTTTTTATCAAATTAAAAATCTTAAGGCAGAGTGGAAAGCTTGTGAAAATTTTGAACAAAGAACTGAAACTTTTTTTCTTCATAAAACTTTAGTCAGGTGGAATTCGTACTGCCAAAATGGACCATTTGAAATTCTGTAACCTGCTCCTGTTTAATCCATTTGTGATGACAGGCAGCTGTCACTGCTATTTGTTTCCAAACATTTGCATCCAAAGGAGACCCTGCTCCCGTTTTCCCTGTGACGTGTTCTCTCCAGCTCTGCCCTTTCTGTCGCCTCTGGCCACCAGTAACCCGCTTTCACAGCTGTGCATCGAGCTGTTCAGAAGACGTCGTGCGAATGTCACACACTGTGTGCTGCGTGCCAGGGAGAGCAGGCTCTGGGGCCACGCCCGCCAGCGGGTGCAGCCCCCCATTCTCTCCATGGCTTGGACCCCGTTTTCCATTGCACACTAGGACTCTTGCTTGCCGGTGATCGCTGGGGCAGGGTTGTGGGCTGTCTCCGTGAGGTCTAGCCCGGCAGGGACCCCTCTGAGCAGCCCTTGTAATGCTTCAGGCCCGCGGGAGCCCCCAGGTGCCTGTGTGCTTGGAAGGGAGCGGCCTTGGCTGACCGCGCTGTTAGCTGACCGGTCCGGCTGGAAGGTGCGTCCCGCCCCTGCCCGGCTGCTTCCTGACTGTGGTGAGTCGAGCACTTTCCCCTCCTCCACCCAGGCCCTGCCGCAGGGCTATTTCTGCCTTGCAGCCTGCAGACCCGGGACTGCCACGGCCCGGGGAGCGCGCGGGCTTCCTGCCATTGCACGATCTGGACACCAGATGGCGCCACAGGAACAGCTTTGAGCCGCGGGCGGGCGTTGCAGCGGGAGGGTTAGCGGGGAGGACCGCGGCCCGTGCGCGTGCGCGAGGCCGGCGCGGTCAGGCAGACCTGGCACACCCTCCGCGGGCCTGTGCTCCGGTCGCTCCCCCCCAGCTCCAGTCTCCCACCCGATGTGAAAAGTTACTCCATTTTCTCCGTTCCTAGAGGTCTGAGAGGCTGGCGTGCACCTTGCCTCCCTCCTTTCCCTCTTCCCTCTCTGTATTAGAAACTTTGCACTGAGCCACATCCCCGCGTCATTCTGCGACAGGATCTTGCTATGTCACCAAGTCGCCCAGGCCGGGCTCGAATTCGAGACCCTCCTGCCTCTGTCTCCGGTAGGGCTGGGACGACGGAACACCGTCCGTCCCAGTGATACCTTTGCTCTGGTTCCCGTTCATGAGCTGCCCTGCAACATACCTTAAAACCCAGATGCACCAAGTGGCCATTCATGCAGTCTTTTGGGGTGGCGTGGTCCTGGCAGCAGGCAGGGACTCCCAGGGTCTCTCCGGGGTCAGAGGCCACTTGCAATCCGAGGCACATTGTGCAGAGACCCCTTAGCTGCATCACTCTGGGATCAAGGGGGCAAGGTGGAAGCCTGTCACTCTGACCTAATCCATGCCTTACCCCACTCCTGGCCGGGCCCAACCTGTCTGACCCCGGCAGGTGCTGACAGCCCCAGAGGGTCACCCCCAGGATGGGGTTCTGCTCTCCACCCACACCCCTCTGAGCCCTGGGAGGGAGCCGGGTGACTCTGCTCAGGCCATAGGGAGACCAGTGCTAACAAACCACCCAGGGACTCAAAAGGCCACAGCACCCCTCAACAGCTTCTCCATTTGTTATGGGGTGAATGGCTGCTCTCCTCAAATTCAAATGTCAGACCCTAACACCTCAGAGTGGCAGTATTTGGAGGGGATTAGGTCGCGAGGGCATCCATATAAATAGACTAGAGCTTGGCCTCTCTCCCTGCCAGCGAGGACTTCTGCACAGCCAGCAGCACTGAGATCATTTAATCAGTGGGTGTAACAATTTGCATAGATTAAGACAGCCTAGCAGGTCAGTAACACCCCGTACTGGGTGTGTCTGAGGATGATTGACAGGGAATCCAGCAAATTGAAGGAGGAAGACCCAGCCGTATGTGAGTGACACTGACCAATAGGCTGATAGCCTGGGCGGATTAAAAAAAGGAAAGAAGAAGGAAGTGCTCCCGTTTTGGAAGCGCTCCAGTCTTTGGGGTGGTCTTTGTGCATCGGTCTTGAGTTTATTTTGCCTTCCAAGGAGCTTCCAGATCCTCGACTTTGGACCAGGGCCGCATCCTTGATCCCCTTTGTCCCCCAGCTACTGCATCCTCCGCTTCCCAGTCTGCAGGGGGCCAGTGTGGACTCTTTCGCCTCCTATCCTGGTTGTCCGCCTCGTGAATCCCCTTGCACAATTACCCATACGTTTCCCACCGATTTTGTTCCACTGGAGAACCCTATGACAGTGGTCCTCCCACACCGCCCACACATGCCCAGACTTCCGAACTGTGAGACGCTGTTTGGTTAGGCCGCCAGTCTACGGTAATCTGTCACAGTCGCCACTCTAGTGACGCCTGGGTCCCTCTCACTGTGGACTGGGAAGGAAGGATCCAAAGGGCAGGAGCTTCTCTTGTGGCTTGTCAGGCCTGAGGGACACAGAGCCAAAGGCCTGGAGCAGTTGGAGACCGTGCAAGAACGGCATGAGAGAAGCCACAAAACAAACGCAATGGGATGTCCGGCAAAAGCCATGTTCATGTGCGACTCCTCACTGGTTGGACGTTTTTAGGTTTAATTTTTCTTCCTTTGCAAAAATTTCTGGATATGTACAGTGATTCTGAGAAGGCACTCTAGTTTTCAAAAATAAACAGTAAAAATGACCTTCCCCCTTGGAGGTGAGTGTTTAGAATGTTGGGTGTTTAGAATGTTGGACCATGGCTCTTAGAAAATCAGGGGCCAGAGTTGGGCCCTGAATTGGTTAATCCAATCAGCCCCACGGTAGAGCTGCATGGACAGCACAGCCACAGCTGGGTGCCTGGTGTAGTTTCTCAGGGAGAAGGGGTTGGGGACTGTAGATCGTGTTCTCCCTGAGTTCTGGAGAACAGAATCCCCAAATCAAGGTGTCAGCAGGGCCACCCTCCTTTTGGGACACTAGCGGGACTGGTTTTTGTCTCTTCTCACTTCTGGCTGTGGTCAGTGAGACTGGCTTTCAGTTGTGCTGGTCCTCTGTTGTGGCTGAGACTTGTGTTCTCACTGGGGGCCTCTCTTCTGTCTTAGGAGGACACCAGGCATGTTGGAGTCAAGGTCCACATGACTCCACTGTGATCTCATCTTGATTTACATCTTATGAAGAAAGGTGGTATTTACACACAAGGGAGTATTACTCAGCCATAAAGAAGGGTAGATTTGAGTCATCTTCAGGGAAATGGGTGCACATTGAGGCCGTAAGGCTAAGTGAAAGGTATCAAACACAGAAGGGTAAATATCGGGTGCTTTCTTATAAGAGAAGTAGCATTCAAAAAAGGGGGATAGATCCTCTGCAGATGGGAGGGGGAAGGAGAGGTGGAGGGAAGAGGGTAAGAAGGAAGGGGAAGTAGAGAGATTTAAGAGGCCTGGTGCCCGGGTGCCAGTTTTGCAGGATGAATGTGTCATGATGCACAGCGGGCATGGACTGATAAACACAAAAAAGTTTTAAAAAAAGTCCCTTCCTAATGACATCTGCAAGGACACTGCTTCCCAGTGAGGCTGCATGCACAGGCGCCCCATAGGGTTCCCGGCTGCCTTCCTGGTGGGCACAGCCGACGGCGAGCCGAAGGATGGGAGCTGGGATGGGACCTGGGATGTGGCCCTCGAGCTGGGGAGTCTCGGGGGCAGCGGGGCGGGGTGGCGGGGAGCTGAGCTTCACTTTGGGGCGCTGAACTGAAAGGCGCACTTTTCAGCTGTGGGCGCCCCGGTGCTCCTGGCGGCGGGGAAGGAGGGAGAAGCGGAGGAGAGGAGCCGGCGGAGCAAACCTGGTCTCCTGCCGCCAGGGGGCGCTCTGCACCCGCCCACCCGAAATCCTTCCCGAGGAGGTCTGCGGAGCAGCTCGGCTCTCTCGCTGACTTTCCCTTGCATTTCCGGTAGTGACAGAGGCCAGCTGCCCAGTAAGAACACCTGGAGGGCTGGGCGACCCTACAGGGCTCGACCACTCTGGAGAGTTACAGGAAAGTTGCTCTTGTAGGAGTGATTTCCAGGCTACGACCTGCTGTGGAGTTAGGGAGAGAAACTTAGCTGAATCACGGAAGAAACTCAGGAGGACTGCTTTGCTCTGGGGAGACGCAAGGGTCTAAGTGCTACTTTGGATTCCTAACAAGATGGTGAACCATCACAGAGAGGTGTCCTCCTCCAACCCTTGCAGAAGTCACAGACGGTGGAGGTTTATGGATCCCAGAATATAGCAACACAAATCCTCTGGGAATCGGAGGGCGGCTGGGTCTCCCATGGGCCGCCACAAAGATTCGATGGGGTGGAAAGGGCCTCTGCTCGGGCCCTTCCTCCTTCTCCACATTGCTTTGGAAATAGTCCCATGCCTTCCTGGCCGTTCCTGCATAACCACTGGAAAGACCCCTCAAGATGAAGATCTGGGGCAGCCATCAGCCTGGGACCCCGCATGGTTTCTTGCGGCCGAGATCCCCCACCTTACACACTGTTGTTTGCTGGAACCATCCAGGACAATTATTTGAGAGAGAAATGAACTTACTACCTGTCTGAGTCTGACCAAGCCTACCTGTATAATGCAAGACTCCAACTCATAAATCAAAATGAGGAATTTCTGTTTAACAAAGAATTCAAACAGGGACTTAACAGATTAGGGGGGAAATACTTATAACATCTAAAACTAATGAGGAATTGATAGCTGTTCTAGATAAGAAATTCCTATAAAGCAACGCCCAAACCCAAAACTTCTTGAAATCCATGTGAGCAGTGGGCAAAAGAGAATTCGCTGAGGTGGAAATGCAAGCAGCTAAGGCGAGCAGAGAGATTCAAATCACAGACGGCGGAGACGCGGTTTACAGTCATCATCTGGCGGCTCTGGAAGATAGCTGAGGCCGTGGCTTGGGGGAAGGCGGCGCTGGAGACGGCCACGTGTCCGCTGCCGGGGCAGGGCGTGCACAGGTGCAGCTGCCGGGCCCCTGGTGAGCCACCGGAAGGAAGTAAGGGGGGCGGGCTGGGCCGCCTGTGCCTGGGGGAGGTGTCATCCGTACCGCACAAAAACAAAAGAAAGAAAGGGAGGGAGGAAGGGAGGAGAGTAGGGAGGCTCCATCCGGTGGCTCTTCCAGTGCTAAGGTGGAGACACCCCCACCCCACCCGCAGTCACCCAGTGCTGCTGAGGCCGCAGGGAGCTGGGTGCGCCAGCGCCCCCTGCCGGGACCTAATGTGCGCGTAGAAATAAGCTAAAGCCGACTAAAGCTGCGCGCGGTTAAACGCTGTAAGAACCAGAATGACACGCGCAGCACGCTGCCTGTCTGTGAACTGAAGACACCTGCGCACCCAAGACAGCCGCGCACTCGCACCCCTCCACGCGCACACACACACATGCACACGCACGTATTAAACCAAGTGGCCGGGCGGGGAGGCTGAGGGGAGAGAGCGAAGAGGACCTCAGGTAAACCTCAGAACGACAGGGCGCTCCCACCTCAGCGAACTCTCAACTTTCTGAACCAAGTTCCAAAGAGGGGGAGGGGAAAGCGCAGGGTGTCATAGGAGCCTTCGCTCCGCGCTGAAGTACGGAGCAGTTGAATTCCTGGCCCAGCATCTCCTGCTAGCCAGAGGCGATGACTGGATTTCAGCTGGTTGCAGTCCAACCCGCACCACTTGGCGCACGGCTCGTTAACGCGCGTGGACAGGGTGGAGCGTGCCGCCCTGTGCCATCCTCTACCGCGGGACCCCAGAAGTGATGGCTGCGGTTCCACCCGTGCTTCTTGGACAGCCAGGCCCCTGCAGTGACAGCGCAGACCTTCCTCCCCTGCAAAGTGGGGGAGATAACAGAGAGAGGCTCACGGAGTTGCCCTTTAGACTGAGTTGGGTCATTTGTGGCCAGCGCTCCCCACGGCACCTGCCACGGCGCATGCATTCACACGTGTCACCCACGGAAGGCTGGAGTCGCCCACTCAGCCCTCCTGCTGCCAGCCCCGGGCCACTCCCCTGCGAGCCTGGCTCCCCCGGAGCACATCTTCCCTCCGGTAGATAAATGCTGTTACCACTGCCCAAAGATCTCCGTGGAGTCCGTTACAGGTAAGGTCCTGGATCTGCCACATCCAGCTGCCCAAGGATCTCCCAAGCATGCACGTGGCCCTGTGTGGAAGCCACACGGAATTCGGGGTCACTGTCTGGGATCTGTGAATGGTGTGCTTCCATGGCCCGTATCTGTGGCATGTTTAATGCCCACGAAAGCCCAATGATGTTGCTATGAGTTTCCTGAGGTTTCATGGATTGTGAATGGTGGGTTGAGACTTGGCGCGTCTGGGAGCAGACCTGGACTCTATGATCTTAACCATATGATGGCCTGTCCCCCAAGGGACCTTCCAGAGCCCCCTGTGGTGAGCACTGGACCTTACAGACATCCAGGTCCCAGCCTTGCAGAGTATTTGGGGCGCCTGCTGACCTTCCACCGAGAGCACCTGCCCTGTTACCTCCTCTAATGGCTGACTGTGTGTCCCCAAAGGCTCTCTGATGCCCTCTGTAGCGCGAAGATATGTAGCAGAAGCCAACATCACACTCAGAAGCCTTTCCACAGCCTCAGGTCTGTGGCCCATGTAATCTTGTAATCTCTCAAGATCTGTATTGATTTGATAAATTCCCTCAAGGTCTCTGAAACAGTTCTGGGCGAGGTATTTTTCTGGTTGCAGATGCATCTCGGGCCAGGTCAACCCATGCTTCTGACCTCAGAGAAAGACCCTGTTCCTTCTGAATCAGAAGGTCGCCACACACAGGGTGTGTTGTCAGATGCTGTGTCAAGGGTGGCGAGGATGCCTTCTTTGGAATTCGTCAGCCACACATGGATTGTGTTTTTGTGGTGCTGCTGGCAAATGTCTACCCCTCAGCTGCACCCTGTCCTGACACGTGCTTCATCTGACTCAGAGTCAGCTCCTGGCTCCTGGCTGGGTTTAACACCCACCGCTCCCTGTCTTTTACATAATCTCTTTAAAAATCTGCAAACATTCTTGCATCTTTTATCTGTGAAGATGCATATGCTAATTGGGACTGCCTCTGACTCTTAGGTTTTTACACGTGGAACTGGGTTTGAAAGCGAGATTGTTAGAGGCAGAGAGAGATTTTTGGAAGTCATTACTCACATCACACAACCGCAGTCGCTCCTCATTAACCATATTTTTCACCTTTCAAAGCCCAAAAAAATTAGCCTTGAAATGTGAGAATGTAGTAGGAAGGAAGGGACTCGGCCTGAAACCGGAGCATCAGCCCACAGGCAGAGCTGGGGTTGTTCTTTGGGTGACTTTTGCTGCTGTGTCATCCCAGATCACACTTTTTTCCAGCTCTTAAAAAGGAGATTTCTGGCACATGCCTTTAATCCTAGCATTCTGGGAGGCTGAGGCAGGAGGATTGCAAGTTGGGACCCAGCCTGGAAAACTTAGTGAGACCCTGTCTCAAGATTAAAAATAAAATGGGCTGGGGATGGTGCTCAGTGCAAAGGCCCTGGGGTTAATGCACAGTATCTGTCTCACACACACTCACAGTCAGAAAAGAGGAGAATTAAATAACATCGAAACTTAAAATTTTTGAAAAACAGAACCCCCCCCCCTTTGTGTTCTTTTAAAAGAAGATAAGTTTAGAAGGCCCTGGAATATCTCAGTGCTGAGGCTTACACTCGGAGAAAGAAGCATCAAATCTGGTGCCGCGGGTCACCCGGAGGGAAGTGATGAGATTCCAACTGCATTTTGTGGGCTTTCCAGGGATGTTGCTCTCGGCAGTGCTTCTCAAATCCGAGTGTCTTGTTAAAATGTAGGCGGGACCTGGGATCCTGCATTTTTAACAAATTCCCCAGAGAGGCTCATGCGCCTGGTTCTCAGACCACATTTTGTGCAGTGCGAGTGTGGTTTCTTATGCAGGGAGTCCCTGAGTGTGCGGCTGTGCATTTACATGTTCTTTTGACTTTATGACAGTGTGAAACTGATATTCGTTCCTAGAAAGTGTACCTTGAGCTTTGGCATTCTTTTGTGATACCAGGAATCGAACTCACGAGTGTGCCAGGCAGGCACGTGTGCCGCTGAGCTGTATCCCTGGCTGGTGCTTTGGATTCGGGTCTTTCCCAGTCTTGCGGCCCCCTCCAGACCTGAACAGAGCATTGAGCTGCCGGCTCTGTCATCCATCAATCAACCGACTCTCTCACCAGCAGCCGTGTTGTTGCTGTGCCCAGCAATTTCGGCGCAGGAAGCACTCTTTCAGCTTAGCAGCCTTTGCAGTGTGCTGCAGTCAAGGCACCTCGGTACTGGCAAATTACAGATGCTCCACATTGTCATGGCGTGCCCTGGGCTGGAATTCAGGAACATGAGAAGGCTCAGCCAGTGCAGGAGTGCACAAGTGGAGAACCCCGATGTTACCTAGGAATCAGGTGTCCCGGGGACCTGCCAGCACTACTTGGATTCCCCCACAGAGTGCCTCTGCACTGGTCCCCATGCACCCCAAAGTGAGACTGTCTTCGGTGCTTTGCATGTGACACGCAGTTTTGGAATGATTGATCCTGCACACGCCATCCATTACTTAGGCCTCTGCCAGGGGCAGGAGACAGGGTGCGGACCCGACAGGAGCTACTGGATAAACAGGTTTGTTGAGTTAAAAAAAACAAAAAAAAAGAAATCCTAGCAGAGAGAGGAGGCAGACGGGGCAGTGAAGGATAAGGAGCATCATGCTTCTCCCTCAGGTGAGCGAGGCACGGCGGAGCGGGTCTGCGCTCTGCCCGAGCCCCTTCCACCACTGTTACAGACTGAAGCTTGCACCCGCCCTAATTTTATATATTGATGTTCCAACACCCCATGTGACTAAATTTGGAGTTGTGGCCTTTAAGATATAATTAAGATTAAAAATGAGCTCAAAAAGACATTGAACGGGACTGGTGTCCTCTGAAAAGAGAAATTGTGATCACAGACTCGGTGCACACAGAAAAACCATAGGAAGACACTGCAAGAAAGACACCACCAGCAAGCCAAACCGAGAGCCCTCAGAAGGCCCCGCTTGATCCTGGACTTCCAGCCCCAGAGCTTTGAGACTGTGCATTTCTGTGCATTAAGCCCCTCTGGGTGTGATGTTTTGTTATAGCAGCACAACTTGACTAAGACAGCTTCTTCCAACTCCAGGAACATGAGCACAATGCAGAGCAGAAGCTGCCTGAGCAGTGTGGGCCTCCGACCAGCTGCCCAAACTAGCTCCTCAAATTTGTATCCGTGCTCTGCTCACGGATAGTTCCCAAGGAAGCAGATAGCTTAGGAGCAAGTTTGTCTTGCTTTTTTTCTTAAGGAAAAGACTTTGTGGTGTGATGGAGGAGGTGTCAGAGGTCCCACACATTCAGGATCCTCAGAAGCACCAGACAGTGGACCTTGAACAAGTCACTTAAACCCTGGACCATCCTTAACCTTCTCTGTCACATGAACTTAAAGTCAGACCAACGTTATGGTTTGGACATGAATTTTTTATCAAGTGTACACTTCTTGATAGCTTTAGGTACCCAGCAGCATTTCCCTGCTTGCCATCAGAGGCCACCACAGACTCCCTTCCTGGGCTGCCCCGGACATGCTCTTCAGAGCCAGTGGGCTGGCACTGCCCTCTCAGTCTGAGATACTGGGCTGGTTGCTTATTGGCCATAGGCTGCTAGGTCTTACCAGAGAGCACAAAGTCCACTGTTGAGGGACCATAGTTCCAAACTCTGCACTAAGTTGCTGCTTAAATTGCCTAGAAAATGAGGCCTCAAGAAGCACAGGCTCAGGGGCATGGCTGGGAAACTAAGGTGGGTTCATTCAGGAGCAGGGCTTCCCATGCCTTTGACCCACTGGAATCCCCTGGAAAGCTTGCTAACTATGGATGTTTAAGCTCAACCTCGGTGTTTCTGCTTTGGTAGATCTGGGATGGGAACCTGAAAATGGATGATTCTTATGAATCTCCAGCTGGTGTTGGACCTGTGGGTCTTGGAGCCACACCCTGAGAACCAGTGTGCTGGCTTTGGTCCACCAGGCACTCTCGATCTCCATGGGGATGGCTCCAGGTCCAGGATGGGGGGAAAGACACCTGCACGCACACACACACACAGGGAGAGAGAGAGAGAGACAGAGAGACAGAGAGAGCAAGAGAAGAAAAATGAAGAGAAGAGGAGAGGAGAGGAGAGGAGAGGAGAAGAGAGGAGAGGAGAAAGGCAAAGGCCTGGCAGCTCTCTGTAGTCACTGATCTCTCACAGTTCTGGAAGCCAGAATCCAAGATCAAAGTGCTGGCAGGCTTAATGTCCCTTAGGGCTCAGTCTTTGCTTCCAAAATGGCATCTTGCTGCTGAGACTTCTGGGAGGGACAAATACTGTCCTCATATGAGCAGGTCCCTTGCATTTCTCTTACAAGATCATTAATGCCATTTGTGAGTGGGGAGCCCTTGTGACCTCATCATCCCCTAAAGACCCCCATCTGGGGCTAGGTCACCTAGTGTGAACAGTGGTGGGGACACAACTGCAGAATCATCTAACGTGCCAGCAAGATGGGGACACCAGAAGTCCCTTCAGCCCGGTACTCTCTGTGCCTGAGAGCCAGGAAGGGTAGCACTGACCACCGCAGAAGGGGGGACCTGCCTTCGCCCTCCAGAGGAGGCAGCAGGTCAGGACAGTGCGGTGGGATGAGGAGAGAGACACATGCTTGTTGGTGCCTGTGTCAGGGATGGACAAGGAGTTGGGAACACGGATCGCTAAGGCTTTTTAAAAAAGAGCATGAAGTCATAGCTTTAAAATGAGCAAGACTGAGTTTTACAAGCTGAAATGAAGCTTTTTCAATGACTCCAATACCTTGTAGTGGGGAGCCATCATGATGAGACTCTGGGAGACAGTGTCCCCAGTACTGTCCTGGGGAATGAAACCTTTTCATATTCACGTGCCAGACAGTGAAGACCTCATGAAAGTCTCCTGTGCCTTCTGGCTGTCTTGCTTGGGGTCTTCGCTGTGTTGAGGTTCCCGGGAAGGATAATCAGCTGTGAAGCCAATTCCTTCTCTTGCAGGCTGCAGTGTTAATCCTCTCTCCATGGCCTCTAAACTACCTCTGTTAGCTGTGCTGGGTTTTTCTGAGCAAGCAATTCCACTCTTTCATGATCCTGTCCACTTTTTGTCTCAAATTCCTTAGTGTTAAAATCAATTATGCAGTAAATGTAGTATTAAAACACAAGAACTTGTGTTTTCTTAAATGAAATTTACAGTCTCCATGGGAATGATTATCATCAAACGCTTAATGACTTTATAAAAAGCAAATGAAACCAAATACACACATAGAAGCAGACACTATTAAGTTAGCTTACAAGAGGGCTACAGCTTCAAACACATCGAACAAGACTTTTATTAGGTAGGAACGATAACTAGATGTCTTTACTCATCAGAAATTTTATTGGAGTCCTGTCCTCTTTTGAGAAGGGAAAAATAATTGGAACTCAAGTGCAAATGAAAATGTATCTTAAAAGTAACTTCTAGGAGTTCTCAGGATGCTAGCCAGTCTCTTTTGAGTTCTTCATCTGCAATAAAAACTAGTGTGAGGGGCAACAGTGTAGAAAGAAGCCTGAGCTCTCGTCTCTGCCCTCTTGGGCATGATTGTGTGACTGTCTCTCTAGCCCACCCTACTCCAGCACCGTCCAGCACCTGGTTCCTTGAGTATAAAGTGAGGGACTGGAGGAGGATGACATCTCACCATTTAACATCTTGAAATTTTTAAGATGCTGAGTGCAAGATTAAAAATGTTAACTTCTTGGGGAACTGACTGGTTCCAGGAAAGGGGCATGAAGTACACTAATCCCTGTATGGTTGAGACACAATAACTGATTCCCAAGTTTAAAGGATAGCTTTGGATACCCAGAGGATTAGTTTAGCTCACGGTTGTAGGAGATTCAGTTCATGGTCAGCTGACTCCAGGATAAGAACATCGGAGCAGAAGGGAGTGGGAGAGCAAGGCTGCTTGGGTCACGGTGGCCAGCAAGCAGAGTGGGGACAGTGCTGGAGAAGAGCAGGTGGGAGAGCGTGCATGGTATCCAAAGCCGCACCTCCATAACCCTTCTTGGTTAAACAGCGAAACTGGTAAATCAGAGTTAGTGACCGTACCTTCCTGTGGCCACAGCTTTGTCCCCCCCATAGGCAGCCATAGTCTGAACACATTAAATGGGAAATTTCGGGAGCAAGCAATTCATAATGTAAAAGTGTGTGTCATTGTATAATCAAGGGAATAGTGTCGTGCTGACCTACACAGCTCAGGATGTGAATCATCCCTTACACTACATCCCCATTAGTCACTTGGTAACCATGTTGGGCCTCAGGTGACTGTCGGTATTGTGGTGTTTGTGTTTAAGTAAACTTTATGTTACTTAATAATGCCTGAAGCATGAAATTAGTGGTGTCAGAGATTTGGATATGCCAAAGAGAAGCTGCAAAGTGCTTCCTTTAAATGAAAAGATGAAAGTAACCTCTGTAGGAAGGGTGAAAAGTGGTGTCTTGAGGTTGGTAAGATCCACAGTGGAAACAAATCTATCTGGGAAATTGTGAGGAAGGACAAAGAACTTTTTGTTAGTTTTGCTGCTGTAACTCAAAAGGCACAGCTTTGGCGCATGATAAAGTCTTAATTAAGATAGAAAAGATATTACACTTGTGTGTGTGCATAGCCTCCCCCCCCCCCCCACATACAAGGCTCTGCACTGGTTACAGTATCAGTTATCTTCTGGAGACCCTGAAAGTCTGTCCTAAGGATGAACGGGACCTCTGCATACCAGAGAGCCCGGACTACAGTAAGGGCTTAAAACAACTAGCCAGACCAACACAAAACCCGTAACAATGAGGTATGGCAAAAGGATCCAGAGACACTGAAAAAACCCCAAAGGCTAAAGCTGGAACAGTTTGAGCAACAAAATAACTAAGATAGCGTTGGATTATAGCCCAAGTTTTAAAAATATTTATGAGTCTGTCTGTAGGAGAGGAAAAAGCAATTTTTTACCCATCTTATGCTCTTTGCCTGGGACCCTGTCTGTAAACTAGACTTGCAAAGACGTATTAACAAGACAAAAGCAAAGTGAAATTTATTAATATGTAATGCTCATATGAATATGTGCATATAAATATTAATATGCACATATAAATGAGGGAGGCACGAGCCAAAGGGATCTAGGTTCCTATTCTATCATCTGCTAAACAAAGGGAAAAGGCTTTGGGATTCCAGTCAAAGGAAACAAGTTAAGGGAGTGTAACCAGGAAAAACATGGTAAACAAGGACTGTTTAGAAGGTTTGTCACATGGATTGAAGTTGGGTGTTTTTGCTATCGGTAAGACTTGTTGAAGGAGTCTTCCTTTTTGTGGCAGGAGAGGAAGAAACATTCTACAAATGGATATCAGTGCAAACTTCATTTGCAAAAGGAAAACTTGTTCCCTGTTTTTAGGGCTTTTACTGCCATTGCTAGTTCTGAATGGCCTTTAGCTCAAAATAATCCACACACCAGAGAGGCATATCTGGGGTGCCCTATTTCAATACTCTCCCAGTCTATACTGCTATAAAGAAGCGACTGTATAAGTAGAGAGGTAGGGGAGAAGAGAGAAATCTCTGTGCAGAATTTCCAATATGGGGATAGTCCATTCACAAAGAGAGGCAGTATGATTTCCCATTTCTTAGACATTGATCAAACGTAGAGCAAACAAAGATTACGGTCATAAGGGAAGAGTAACATGACAGGTTAGAGTCTAGCAAACCCCACCCAGCCAGATGATCAAGGTCAACATGAACAGTGAGGTCATGTCCATAGTACACGCTCTTGCTATGGTGTGATGGGAAGAGGCTTCATTTCTGTCATCTTTCCAAAAATTAATAGCCCCATTCGAATCATGAGCCAAACATCAGAAACAAACCCCAACTGAGAAGCATTCTAGAAAATGCTAATAGTGCTCTTCAAAATTATCAAAGTCACCTAAAACAAGAAAAGTCTCAGAAACTGTTACAACCAAGGGGAGTCTAAGTAGACAGGATGATTAAATGAAAGATGTATTTTGGTTGATCTCCTAGAACAGAAAGAGGATATTTGGCAACAACTAAGTAAATCCTTGTAAACTATGTTGATAGAGTTAATTGACCAATATTATTATTATTATTTTTTTTTTTTGGTCTTTTTCCTTTTTATCGGTACCGAGGATCGAACTCATGACTGACTGCTTGCAAGGCAGGCGCTATGTCGCTGAGCTAAATCCCCAGCCCCAATATTAATTTCTTAATTGCATAAAACCTTCCATATTATAGTTGGATGCTAACTGGGAAAGGTAGCTGTGAGGATATATGGAAACTCTCTTGATTGTCTTTGTAATTTTTCTGTAAACCTGAAACTGTTCTAAAAATTTATTTCAAAGAAAAATGATAGTCCTGAAGGTAAGCAAGACTCACAGAAATGACCCCGTGTAGTTGTACAAGAAGGCAGAGTTGATACAGAATATCCAATAAAGAGTAAAAAACCTGGTATTTAATTGATTGGAAATCACTTTCCAGGGGCTGTTATGGCACAGGGGCTATAAAAGATCGGCTCAGCCTGGATTATCTAAATTCTACATGTCATCGGCACTGGCTTTGACTGTCTCCTGGGAGGTCACCTCTGAGCCTTTGGAATACGCTTCCTGACAAGAGCGTCTTTGCATGGTTGGGGTCCAGGGACACAGTGGAGAGTCTGTGCTGGCCATGTGATTTATGGAGAATGGCTGGGCCACACTACTGGTTTGAACAGTGTGGGAGGGGCTGCCGGAGATTGAGCTGATAAGGCGCCTTGTGTGAGTATTCCATGGTCCCATGAAACTCCAGCTAACACATTCTCACTGGTTTGCACACACACTCGTGGTACATGCATAACTATCCCATTGGGAAGCTTGTACCAGCCGATGGGCTGTCTCATGCTGTTCAATGAGACAGTCAAACATGTACCACTAGTGTTTCAAATGACTGGGGACATAAGACATTCAAATCAGAGCTGCCAGGCAGTGAAACATGAATTATAGCCCTGTTGTGAACGTGTTAAGTGGTTGGCCACCTGTCTTAAGTGTACTTCCCTGTTGACAATACAGCATTGAATGGTTACTCTTGATTGATTAGCCAATATCCATAGTTTAGAGAAAGAGAGCTTTGATTTGGCTCACATTCTCAGGGGGTTCAGTCTGTGGTTGGCTCCAAGGCAGAAACATCACAGTAGAAGAGCATGACAGAAAAAAAGACTTGTACCAAAATCATACCTCCATGACCAACATAGACACCGGGAGGAATATGCCAGGAATACCTGTGCAGCTCCCAAGCCAATTAAGTTGATACAGTGAAGCTTGACCATCAGAATCCGTTTGCCATGGAGGCATCTGCTCCCTCACCTCTTCCTCTTGGGCTCTCCCCTGCTCTCTGCTTCCTGGGTGCCGTGAACTGAGCAGCTTTCTTCTCCCACACCCTTCCAACATGATGTTTCTGCCTTGGAGCCAGCTGCGGACCAAACCCTCTCAACTGGGGGCCACAGAAACGCTTCCTCCCTCAAGCTGTGCATGTTATTAGTCTGAACAGTGGAAAGCTGACCATTACACTTCACAAGTTTGTCCTGGTTCAATTGCTGGGAGGATTATGTGCTATTCATTCGAAAACAATGGAGTTTACATCTGATTTTCGTGGATGCCATCCTCTGCTTCATCTTCCTTTTCTGGTTTTAATTTGTATCTTTTTGCCATGAAATAAACTGCAACCATGGGTAGAACAGCTTTTCTGAATTGTAACAAATCATCAAACCTGAGGGTGGTCATGGCGGGTCCTCTCACAGAGACTGGAGCCTCCAAACTCCCACATTTCAGCAGCTCTAAAGGACGAACAGGCTGTGTCCAACCAGGGCCTCCCTGCCCCGTGATTGTTTGAGAATATAAATTACATAACCAATTAGCCAATTTATCCATTTCCCTCCACTATTCCCTAATCAATACCTCCAAACTTAGAAAAGCACATATTCAATTCCCTCTCCCTCCCAGCTCCTGACAGTCATCATAATTCGGAGGTAATTTGGTCCAGTTATAAAAGACACACACAAAAGAATTCAATCATTTTTCTGCCTGATAAATCTCTGCTCTCCCTGAGGACATGACTGCTACTCGCTGTCCTTCTGATAGTCCCAGTGTGTGGCTCTTTGCTCAGTCAGATGTTAAGGGCTTGAGAGGAAGGAAGAGGGAGGATGGACGGAAGGTGGAAATTCTGGAAAAGAGAGAGAAGCCACAGGGAAGAAGGGCGAGGAGCTGAGCTAGGGCCCACTGTTGCTGGCGAGGCCTTTGTTGGAAGGAGATGTTTGCGTTAGTGTCTCAGGTCTGTCTCAGGAAGCCAACAGCTTCCGTTAAGGAAGCCCCCGACAGAGCTGGGAAGTCTGGGGCCTTCAAGGAGGATTGTTTGAGCCCCTTTTCTCCCTGTTTACCACTCTGCACCCCGCTGCCCCAGGCTGGGCCCTTCTCAGTTAGCTGGAGGACTTGGCAGTGACAGAATTGGCCTGATGTAGCCCAGGCTACCAGTTCCTGCAAAGAGGTCCAGACCCTGCTCCTAAAAGCAAGGTGGAGTTTCCTGTTGAAGTGACAAACCCAAGTAGGGGCCCTGAGGGTCATCTTTCCAGGTCCTTGGTGTGCCAAAGAACTGGACACAGAAGAGGCAGAAAGGGTGCACATTTATTGAAAGTAGAAGAGAAATTCATTCTGCAGGGTGAGAGCCGGTGGCAAAAAGGCTCACAGTAGCCCTGAGGTTAAAGCTTAAGGGGTCTTTGGTATCCAAAAGACTTGGATTGACCTCCGCTTCATGTAAAAAAGGTACAAGGCCATTTGTCCTATCAAACACTCACAAGGTCTCATGCCAGATTTAAACTGTCCTACTGAGAAACTCACTTCTCAGATGTAAAGAAGGATCAGAAACAGTGTCTTTTGATTGGTTGTGCTCACACATAAATAAAAGATAGAAAAGCTCACTTTTCTGATTGGTCCACAGGGGCTCAGGATCCCTAAGTCTGATGCCCTTTAGCCATGTTCTGTGCATGTTCTCTTCTGTGCATGTTCTCTTCTTGGAGACGTCTTGCTCAACTTGCTAGCTGTGGGTTTTTAATGACCTTTGATCCTTCCTAGCCAGTAGGGGTCTGGTCTGACCCAACCCAAGTCACCATCCTCATGGAGGCTTCCATGTGTTCTGGAGATGAAAATGTAATGCCCCAGGAGGGAGCTAAGTTTTTCTTATCAGCTGTTCCTGAGGCTGAGCCTGGTCAGCCTGAATGCCTTGGTCAGCCTCCTCTCTGGTTTGGACTGAAGCCATGAGCAAATTCCTGTCCTCCTGTCAGTGTTGGACATTGTGTCTCAGTGACGAGAAAGCTGACTCTGCACATGGAGAGAACACTGCAACTGCTCCTGCGGCTGAAGCTTCTGTGGGAAGTTAGATTTCTGATTCTAGTTTCTTCTTCGGAAGCGAAGAGGAAAGTCTCCAGCTGGGTTTAAACACATTAATTCCCAAATTGAGTTTGGATCTCCTGCTATTTAAAAATCCTATTTGGTAAGCACTTCACAGAGCAACAGCTCTGAAGCAGAAAGATTACCTTCCCATTAGTCTGGCCCACTAGTTTGCATTGTTGTTCAAAAGGCGTCAAAGGGAATTTAAGAGGAATGGAGGTTTCAAAGGCAGGGAGAACCAGCCTTCTAAAGCCTGGGAGCCCCCATTGCTAGGGAAGTGAGGACCTGTTGCCGGTTTCTGGCCGATGAGGCTTTCTAAACCTTGTAAGCACCTGAATTGAGATCCTGGTTGTGTTCAGGCTGCTTCGTTTGGCTTTTTTGTAGGGGCCTCTGCCTCCAAGCCAGCACCAGCATCTGCTCCCCTCACTTCTTGGACCCTGTGAGAATCTGTAGATGACCCAGCTCTGCCTGAAACTGACCCACAGCTGCCTCCTCTGGAGAAGGGCCCCAGGCTGTGCCTTGGATGCCACCAGGTCCAGTTTGTTCCTGTTCTGCTTGTACAAGACATGTAGAAGGACAAGAGCTTTTGATAGTGGGAAGGTTGAGGGCGGCAGGAAAGAGTGCTCAGACACCCTAGCAACAAGTTTTAATATTCCATCTTTTGAAAAATTGAGATTTTCTTTTAACACTGACACAGAGAAAATAAACTATGGCATGTTTCATAATTTATGTGACAGATCTATCATTGCTTTTGATCGGTCTAGTGTATTTACTGTTGCTTACAGGCTTTCCTGTCTAGGAAGAAGCCTCCTCTTTCTCTGCCTCTGCCCTGGGATATTGGTTTCTTATCACTAGCCCTACCATGTTCCCGGGAGTGTTCTGTGTGGTCCATAATTGTTCATTCACCTGCCAGGCTTTGCTCAGGGTGGGCCGCTTAGCCTTGTGCCTGCTAATCTCTTTCTTAAAAAATTGACCTTGACCTTCTGCAGGGCCAGACAGTGACAAAGATTAGAGATGGAATTTCTTCCTGGAAGACTCACAGCTGGTGGGCTGACGTGGCATGTTCTAACATACGACAACCTGTGGGAAATGAATCAGTGCGAGCCTGCAGTGGGACAGGGTCTTAGTTATTGCTCTCCTTGTTGGGAAAAAATGACAGCCACAATTTAAAGGAGGAAAGGTTTATTTCAGCTCCAGTTTGTAGAGGTTTCAGTGCATAGCTGGCTGGCTCTACGGCAGAGCGGCATCGCAGAAGAGAAACAGTCCGTGGCAGAGCAGGCAGGAGGCAGCAGCAGAAGCAGAAACAATGAAGCAAGTCTCCCTTTTATCCCATCCAGGCTGTAACCCTTTGGAGTGGGGTTACCTGCACACAGGTAGGCTTCCCATTACCCACGCCCAGAACAATACTGACCAATCAGTGTACTAACCCAATTATCACACACTCCATCCATATTCACACACCTCGATAGGGCCTCATGATGAGCATTGGAAGCTTTGTGTGTGAGGGGTGGGGCATCTCTAGATACAAGCCAAACAGGGAGGTTGAGTCAGGAAAGGCTCTTGAGGGCATGGGCTGTGTCCTCAACCACAGGTAGTTAAGCTACATGACAAATATGCAAGACTGTGGGAGGTTGCAAGGAGAAGGGAAAGAAGGGCCAGATACGTTAATCCATTTACTATCATGATAAAAATCACTGAGGTTGTGTTACTGTGCTGTGAGATTCTAGAGATGTTTTCTAGATGCTTTCTGTCCAGAACAAAGAATTAGTCAAGACAAGTGAAAAAGGTAGTGATATTTTACATTTATTAAAAGTATTCAAAGTAGGAAAAAACACATGCTCTGTAGAGTGACTGTGGCCAATTAAGTAGGAAAACAAGTATCCACTACAGGGTGAGACAGGACCACTGCAAAAGAGAGCACACAGGGGCCAAAAGTTCAATGGCAGCCACCTTTTGTATCTTCCACTCCTCAGGGTGACATCAGGTCTAGACCATCCTATCAAAAACCTGCTTGCATTCTCACAAAGAAAAGTTAAAAACAGCATTTCTGATTGGTCCTAAGTGCTGGGCTTGGGTGTGTGTCTCCTGGATCTCTCTGATTGACAGATCACACCCACTTACCCACAAGTTTGCCACACCCTAACCTCCTGCCTCATTTGAGTACCTCTTTAAGACAAGAGGATTATTGGGCCCACAGTTGTGGCGGTTCAGAATGGGGTCAGCACCTTGGTGAGAGCCCCTTCCCTCTGGCTGTGCCACAACATCATGGATGATGTCATGGTGGGAATGAGACAACAGGAGACAGGAAGCCAGAGAGATTCAGGGGCCAGGCCAGGTCCTTTCATAGTAACCCATGCTTGGAGGAACAAGCAGGGATCCCATGAGAACTGCAATAAGCCCTTCCCCGGGCAGAGCCCCCAGTGATGTGAGGTCCTCCCACTAAGCCTTGCCTCAGAAAGGTCCCGCCCTCTCTACGCCACTGCACTGGGCACCAAATCTCCGGCATGTTAGCCTTAGCCAACTGGAGCATCTGCAGTGAGCAAAGGTCCTTGCTTTAATAGAAACAGAAGTTAAAACTGAAGCCCATGGTTACAGGAACAAAAGATTTAACTGGAAAGTTAGAAGGAAGACAGGAAAGGACCCTGGCTAGGGTAATTAGGGGAGGTAATTAGGGTAATTAGGGGTTCAGACTGGCCACCTGCAAGGCAGGGGCCAGCTGTTAAGGTTAGATGCTGGGCTGGGGCCCAGGGGACCAGTCCTGGTGTCATATTTGGAATCTTTATGGCTGAGGGGTGGTTTCATTGCTAAGAGAGGATTATCTCTGTCTGTGCTGTGGGTTCCACCTGACCTGGAATCCAGGGAATCACAGGTTTAGGGCAGTGGCTGGGAGTTTCTGTGTGTAGCTGAATTTTTCTGTAAACCTTTTATCTTGGCATCCTCAGTCTGAAGGGGGGTGAGAGCATATAAACACAGGGCTAATTCACTCTCACTGACCAGATAGGCACTCCCTCAAGTCTCCACATAATTTTATGCAGAGCTGAGAAGCAATTGACCTAACACTTAGAGTACCAAAGGATACAAAATGAAGGTCAAACTTTATTCTGCTTTTAGATTCCTGTGGGGTATCTGTAGGACAAAGTGAAGAATCATAGTTTATAGCAAAAAATAGCTTTTAAGTCCCTGACTGTCCAGAAGAAAACATAAATTATGCTTTTAATGAGTAGCAGGTGAGGAACTAACCATTCCCCATCCCTGTGGGGGCCTCTGACTATGTCATAACTGCATTAGCAGCCATCGGTGTGGTTGGCCATTGTTCAAGGCCGCCCAGCAATTGAACCCCTTTTTTCCTACCTGGAGAGCTTCTTATCTCATGACGCTTCGTCAGGGAGAAGCCCGATATTATGGACACCCCGAATGTCAGACAGCCACTCTAGCTTCCTTTCAGCTGAAATACACAATGATTCTGATACCGTATGTACAAGCTTGCAGTCCTGCCAACATCGAAGAATGAAGTCATGCCCCAAAGGAGGCGGTGAGGAGAGTTTTTATTGGAAATAATAAAGACAGCTGGTGGATTTCCAGGTGGGACTCCAGGTGGGTAGCTGCGTGACCTCTCGAGCCAGAGCTACTTATGGACAAGTGGGACACAGGAATGCCCAGTGGTTTAGTGGTTACCTATCCCAAGACCGATCTCTTGGAATTTGGGCTTCTAACCCAGTTATTCCACAAGCAGGGTTTAAAGGAAGCTAAGGCTGTAGCGGGAAAAGGACCCTGATTACTCTGTATTTTAAGTTGCTGAGAACTCAGGAGTGTAGAGCGGCTGCACTTCTGGGGAGCAGGGAGTGGCTGGGTCCCACTTGCCTGAGGAGGTTCATTCTTGGTCCAAATCTGTGATTCTCTGTCTGTTCTTATGTTAATTCTTATCAGCGTGGCTGGGCACCCAACTCTACCCCATACCCTGCGCCTAGCTTGCTGCCCACTCATAAACTGACCGGGTAAACTATTTTCCACCATTCAGGCATCACTAGTTTGTCAGAGAGACTTTGGGAGCTGGCGATGCCAGGAGGCAGCACCCTGCAGGGCCCGTTCTGCAGGGGGACACAAGGCAGCAAGGGCTGCCGTTGTCCCAGAATGCCAGAGGTCAGCCTTCGTGCCACCAGCAGTGCAGGCTGAGGGCTCCTGGCCTGGCTGTGAATCCATGGCAAGGGACCTTCTGTGCCTGGAGCTTGGAGCTCATCCTGGCCTTGGAACCTAGATCTGGTTTTTAAATCTCTTATCTCTTGGGTGCTGTGATTACTGATCCACACCCCCAAGTCTGGCTAAGCGCCACATCTTGAGCAGATCCCAGAACAGGAGAAGGCTGTGCCGCAGGTCCAGGCTGCTATACAGACTTCTCTGGCATTTGGGCCATGTGATCCAATCCAGTGGCAAGCAGGGTTGCTATCTAGCGCCTTGGTAGATTCCTAACGGTGAACATCGTGTCATTAGGCTTTGGGGGCAAAGTACTGCCACCCACCACAGCTGTCTACTCTCGCTTTGAGAAACCACACTTGGCTGTTAGTCTGGGCTTTGTCGGGGGCAGAACACTTGACCACAGGCTACCGAGTTACCATGAAACCTGAGTCACCCATTATGAACCGTGTTATCGGATCTGGCAGGGACAAAGCTGGGCTGCATAACAGCACTCCTTTACCCAGTGGGTGATCCTTGTGGCACAGGCCTTGAAGGCTCCAGTAAGTCACAGGAAGTGGTCCTCACTCCTGCTGTGTGGCCTTCTGCCCCCAAGCCTGCACCGATGGCCTCATGGGGAGTTCCCCATGGTCTGTTGACGGGAAGAAAAGGCTCAGGCTGGTTAGACATGATCTGTAGGACCCCACCCCCACCCCCAAGAAGGTTATGGTTTTACAGCTTCTTTTTAGAACATTCCTGATGGACAGTGGTGAAGGGAAATCCTCCCAGTGAGCAGTGCTCTTGGTCATCACTTTGCTTGGACAGAGAGTGGCTAGACTCTTGGGCTTTGGTCAATGGTTTGACTAGATGCTTAAGAAGTTAGAAGGAGCATGACTGGATGCTTGGTGACAAGGAGATCTGAAGAAATACGTGGACAGAACTCCCAGAGTGGGCAAACATGTGACAATATGGTTGAAACCGACAGTTTGATCGTAGTGAGTCTTTGTGTGAGCTTCTTTGAATTGATCCTAACTGACAGCTTTTGAGTGTCTTGAATTTGGATATCGGTTGGCTTTGTGAAGTTGAGAAATTTTTGAAAATAAAATTTCAGAAAATCTCTCTGTTCCTTTCCCTACTTCTTCTAGAATCATCATAATGTATTTATTGGTCAGCTTGACCAATAAATCCCATGAGCACTTTAGGGTTTCTTCATTCTTTATTCTTTTTGTTCCCATGATGTAATTTAAAATGACCCTTTTTAAAATTCTTGTAATTATGCCCCTAAATTAGACAGAATTTGTGTTTGTAGCTTCACCTCTGGCCCTTGGTTCTATCTTGCAGCCAGTGCATTTCAGGCAGAGGAGATTGCGTGGAAGGCTTCACATATGAGGAAGAGTACGATTATTTGGGATCTGTGCAGAGCTGTGGGATACCCTATAATGCCCACACACCCCTGGCCACAGGCACATCTGGGATGCTCTCCACCCCTGTAGAATGTTTCTGAAGGTTCTAGCAACAGACTTGACTGCCACACAAGGTCTGGCATAGTGGACCT